TCAAATGTGATGTTCGACAAGAGGTGTTTCCGGGATGTTCGACAATACTTAGGGATCTTGCTAAACGTTTCGACAAAGCACATTGAAAAACTTTGCCCTTACACTTTCATATTTTTGTCGAAACAGTACTCTATTACTTTCTGTCGAACAGGGAAACTCATTCGATATGGTTCCGATTTCACATGTCAGAATGAGAGAAGTGGTTGGACTAGCAAGATTGGGAGTACAAGTAGGAAAACCCTAGAATGTTGTACCCCCTAAGGCTAAACCCACTGTAGCCTACAGAACAGTAACATATACAATGTTTGACACACCCCCATAGGCAAAGTGGGGGAGAGCAAGGGGTCACAAGACCAGTTAAGAAAGATAAAGCAAGCTCAGGGTGGATCACAACGTCACCACACACTCTGAGCACAAGCAAGAGGCCACAAGGCCAGTTCACATGCAGAGGCATATATGTAACACAAGCATCACAGTGATCTATACCTAGAAAAGCAAGCATGCAGGTATATACATACAGATCACAGTACAGGCAAAGTCTACAACAAGTGAGGAAAAGTGGGCACAAGCCCTAGCAAAGTGCAGAAACGCTGATGATCACCAGACTAAAGTGCCTTGGTGAATATATCAGCAGTGTTGGCCTGAGTGGCCACGTAACGTAGACGAAGCTGACCACGCTGCTGCAACTCTCGAGCCAGGAAGTAACGTAGAGCGATGTGCTTCGTTCTGTGCTCCAGTCTGTGCTCCTCACACAAGGCAATGGCAGCCTTGTTGTCGACGTACAGCACTGGAGGAGAACGAGGCCGCTCTCCCAGGTCGGTCAGCAGGTAGGTGAGCCAGCGTAACTCCTGTGCAGCCATGGCTGTGGCGTAGATCTCAGCCTCACAACTGGAGCTGAGAACTGAAGACGAACGCGTAGAACGCCACGAAACTGAGCCAGAGCCAAGGCTGAAGGTGTAACCCTGTGACGACCGCTGAGTAGCCTGGTCGTCAACCCAAGAAGCGTCTGAGTGCCCAGTGAGAACAACTGAGCTCCCCCCTCCGAGCACGAGCCCCACGCCCGATGTACTGCACAAGTAGCGCAATACCCTCTTCGCAGCATCCCAGTGCACCTTTCGGTGCCTATCAGAAGCCACGTAGCGGGCCAGAAGGCCAAGAGGGTACGCTAGGTCAGGATGAGTGCAAGTCATCAGGTACATGAGGCAACCAACTAGCTCTGGGTAAGGACCACTCGGCTCTACGGACTCATCCGAAGGCAGAGCTGAGAGCGATTGACCTATAGCCAGAGGAGTGGCCTGTGCGGAGGACCAGGCCGAAGCGCTGAAGGACCTGCTGCACCATGTGTGACTGAGTCAGTGTGATGGTGCGGCGTGCTCTGTCCCGGGTGATCTGCAAGCCAAGGTAGCTGCGCAGTTCACCCAGGTCTGTGCACGTGTGTCTCTTCTGCAGCTCCGACTTCACGTGGGCGAGAGCCTCAGTGTCAGCAGTGGCAAAGACCAAGTCGTCGACGTACACGAGGATGTAGAACGGCGACAGCGAAGTGTCGGTGCGCAGAAACAGCGACGGGTCAGCAGTAGAAGGCGCGAACCCAAGAGCCGCAAGAGTTGTCCTCAGTGTGTCGTGCCACTCACGTGGCGCCTGGCGGAGACCGTAGACCGGCCGCCGGAGGCTCCACTGGGTACCAGGAGGAAACGACCCAGTGAAGCCAGGAGGGCGACGCAGCCAGATCTCCTCGTGTGCTGAAGTCAAGAGAGTGAAGCTCGTAGTCACGCTGAGCGGCAACGTGCAGTAGCAGCCGAAGAGTGGTCATCTTCGGGGTGGGGGAGAAGGTCTGGAAGAAGTCTACTCCCTCTCGCTGACTGAAGCCTCGAGCAACGTAACAAGCCTTGAAGACAGGCGGAGAACCTGGCGGCCGCTTCACCCTGAAAATCCACATGCCACTGACGATGTTCGCCCCAGGAGGGGGAACCTCGTCGACGTAAGTGCCAGTGGACTTCCAGGATGCCATCTCTGCGTCCATGACTGACTGCCACTGAGAGGAGTACTCACCCACGATCGCCTCAGCGTAAGAGCGCGGGGTCGGGATGTCTGGTGCATCCGGGTCTCCCTCAGGTGCAATCAGCATGGACACGAGATGAGGTACAGCACCGGCAAAGCACTCAAAGTCCTCCTGCCTGTCCTCAAGGACGTCCGTGCCTAGAGCACACTCACCCCTGACGGACGGAGGACAGACACACTCAGACTCAGCAACAAGACTCGCGGCGTGGTCTAGACGACAGCGAGCAGCAAAGTCGACAAGTCAGCAACTAGGACAGACGCAGCAGCAGACTCAAAGGAAGGGTCAGTGACAGCCGTGGCCAGGAGACGCGTGACAGTAGGACTAGCAGCACGAAGAGAGTCAGACTCCGGGTCAGCAAGGGCAGGAAGAGAGGACGCAGGAGGAGAAGGCAGAGGGACTCGCTGTGGAGCAGTGGAAAGATGAAGCGTCATCTGGTGAGTGCCTGGGACAGCAGGAGGACGCTGACGCGGGACACTACGACCAGTGCGAGCAGCACGAACAGGTGACGCAGAATGAGACGCAGGCGACACAGGATGAGACTCAGGCTCACGACGCTCCGTAAGACCTCCGGTCGGACCAGTGTAGGGAGAAGGACCCGGGAGTGGCGAGGCAGGCTGTAACTGTAACTGCGAATGGACAGGCTGAGGACACTCTAAGCAGGGAGCAGGACAAGGAGGAGGAGGCTGACCAAGAACCTGCTGAAGGAGCGGAACGAAGTACGGCCGCGGTCGTGAAGCGCCCTCAGAACCAGCAGAGACCGCACCAGAACCCCCAGCAGCAGCTCCAACTCCTGCAGTACTACCAGCAGCTCCAGTAGTGCCAACTCCAGTACCCCAAGTAGCGCCAGCTCCTGCCGCACCGTCGGCCCCAGCATCTGCAGGACCAACCGCAGGGTCGTCAGCTACACGAACTCCAGTAGGCCCGGCGTCCTCAGCTCCACCAGCAGCTCCAGCAGCTCCAGCACCTGCAGCTCCAACTCCAGCACCAGCAGCACCTCCAGTAGCACCAGCTCCAGCAGAACCCCCAGTCCCAGCAGCTCCACTACCGCCTGTACGAGCACCTCCAGGACCAGAGGCTCAAGTACCTCCAGCAGCACCAGGGTCTCCAGCGGGCGGCACCCCAGTGCCAGGAGCGCCGCTCCGGAAGCTGCAGCGCCGAGCGTACCACTCACGCAGTCGCTGTGGGGAGGGAGGCGACGGCTGCGACCCAGCACCCGCAGCACCACCAGCTCCAACTCCGGCAGAACCCCCAGCTCCAGCAGCCCCACGCCGGAGGCTGTAACGCTGAGAGTACCACTCATGCAGCTGTTGTGAAGAGGGAGCGTCACCAGGTGCAGGACGGTCAGTCTCAGCTCCCCCAGGCTCAGCACCCCCAGGTTCAGCACCCCCAGGCTTAGCACCCCCAGTCTTAGCACCCCCAGGCTCAGCACCCCCAGGCTCAGCACCCCTAGGCTCAGCACCCTCAGTCTCAGCACCCCCAGGCTCAGCACCCCCAGTCTCAGTACCCCTTGCAGGACCAGAGTCGAAATCTACCTCGACAGGCTCGACCGGGTCTACCTGGGAAACTTCTGAGGGAGCAGGACCCTGGGGAGGGAGGGGGTCTACCGAAGCAGCACCTGGCGTGAGGAAGAGCGGCGGGGGGGGGAGCGGCGCAGTGCGGTAGGGGAACAGATGGTAAAAGGGAACCGACTCGTCAAACGTGACGTCCTGAGAGGGGAAGACAGGACGCGAGGTGGGGTGGTAAAACTGCCAGCCAGGCGCGTCAGGGACAAAGCCAAGAAAGACGCAGGGAACGACACGGAAGGAGAGTTTGTCCGCGGACGTATCGCGGACAAAGGCTCGACATCCCCAGACTCGGAACACCGACGCATCGCCAACCTTCCCCGTCCAACGCAGTGTGGGCGAGGTCTCCGGAGCAGAGACCCGGGGCCAGAGGTTGAGCTGATGCGCAGCGTACTGCACTGCAAACGGCCACAGGAAATGGGGGGCAGCCGCATGGATCATAGAGGTACGAGCGACCTCCATGACTAAGCCAATGCGGCGCTCAGCAATCCCATTCTGCTGTGGAGAGGCCGGCAGTGTGAACTTCTGGCGGATGCCGTGCTCCGCATAGTAGGCTGCCAAGAGGTCGGAGGAAAACTCACCACCCCTGTCAGAGTGCAGACGCAGGACTGGAAAGTCCGACTGGAACCGGTCGCGGAGCTGGAGACGAGCAGCGCGGATCCAAGGGATCAAAACATCAGGGACCTCACCCTTGGTGCGCAAGGGGAAGACCGTGGTGTAGCGCGTGTAGTCGTCGACGACCAGCAGGAAGTACCGCTCGTGGCCCTGTCCACGGACGCGGGCTGGGCCCCACACGTCCAGGTGGAGAGTCTGCAGAGGAGCCTCTGTGGGAGGGAACGAGGAGGAGTGAGGAGTGGCGCGCTGCCGCCCCTCGACACAGGGAAGACAGGGAGGAGCAGGCGAGGGTGGGAGAGGAGGGAGAACCCTGGGAAGACCAGAGACAAGGTACCGGGAGTGCATGCCACGAAGGCGTTGCACTGAAGGGTGACCAAGGTGGTGGTGCCAGAGGACAGTCTGGTGCGACAGGGTGCGACACGAGCAGGGGGCCGACAGCTGACCTGACGCAGACGCAGACGCAGCTACCTGAGGGGACTCAGTGGTCAGTGTGTACAGGTCCGACCCCGGCTGCCGAGTAAAGGTAGCCAGGTGGCGACCCGTCTGAGCACACGTACAGTGGGTCACACGCTCATAGGCAGGGGTGAACTGGTGAACACCCCCGTCCTGGAGAGCAGAGCTCGCCACCAAGTTCGTAGAGAACGAGGGGAGGTAAAGACCCGACAGGGTGCCGGCCGAAACCGCTGGACAAGGGAGGACAGTGGAGGAGGTCGCAAGGACTGGGCCCCCAGAGGGGTTAGCGAGAGAGACAGCAACAGGCCGAGCTAGCTGCTCAAGGGCAGTGCGGTCACGAAAGAAGCAGCGGGAAGCACCCGAGTCCAGTGTGAAGGTGTGCAGTGCCTCAGTAGACGCAGTACCAGCAGGCGCAGACTCACAAGCACGTGGAGCAGCAGACTCACTGGCACCTAGAGCAGCAGCCTCACCAGGACCTAGGGCAGCAGACGCACTAGCACCTAGAGCGGTAGTCTCACTGGTCTCAATACCCGGGTCGGGCGGTATACTCAGGTAGCAGTCACCCTCAACACTAATAGTCAATGCATACATAGCACCCAGGATAGCATCATAATCAAGAGCAAAGATATCAATTCCCTTCTTAAGCAGATCATCCCAGCGGGGTAGCTCAGAGGCGTCAGGGAACTGCTCGCGCCAGGCGTCGTCGAGACGAAAGAAGCAGCGCTGCGCCGTGTGAAACCTCCCACAGGTCTGGCCAGTGCGGTCACCTGTGCGGATGACGTACGGGCAGGTACCTCCACCCCCAGACCCCCCACGCTGAGAGTACCACTCACGGAGCTGCTGGGACGACGGGGTCTTGCTGGGATGCTGCTGCTGCTGCCTCTGGCCACCTCCGATGCCCCCACGCTGCACCGCTCCATCGCGCCCGCCGCCGGCTCCACTGCCGCCACCACTGCCACCACCACCCCCGCCACCCCCGCCACCGCCGCCGCCACCACCCCTGGCTCCGCCACTGACCCCCCCTACACCAGCACCACTCCCACCACCGCCACCACCCCCGCCGCCTCCACCCCCTCCACCACCGCCGCCCCCGCCGCCACCTCCGCCACCCCTGCCCCCCTTGCCCCTGCCGCCCTTGCGCCTCCCACTAGGAGCAGACGCAGCCCCGACCCCCTCAGCACCGAGGTAGTCGACCGCAGCAGCAGATGCAATGGAGGGGAGGAGGGGGACGGGGGAGCACCCCTCAAAGAAGGGGGCGCGAGGGTCGCCTCGAGAGGCACCTACTGCTACAATACTCTTCTCAGCTGCTAGGAGTTCCTTCTCGAGCAGGTCGACAGTGAGGTCGGTAGGGGAGAGGGCGAGAAAGTGGTCCCTGACAGTGCGAAGGGAGTCAGGGAGGCGGGTGACTAGGTGATAGAGTGTGAGGTACATCGGGGGAGGGTTCTTGGCTAGGAAATTGGGGGGAAGCGCGGCATGGTAGCGAAGATCACTAGTACGGAGGTGCGTGATGAGGTCAGCTACAGTGGCAAAAGCAGACAGATCGGGGAAGAGATAGGGCAGTGAGAGACGGCCTATCGCAGCAGTAGCAGGGGAGGAGTAGCGTGCAACTACAGCGTCGTACAGCTCCTTAGCGGTCTTATGCTGGCCAAAGTGCTCGCGCTCATCTAACGGTAGGTGGCTGCGAACGGCTAGGCGAGCATGAGCGTCACGGGTCTGCCACTGTGAGCGAGCAGTGCTGTCAGCAGTAGCAGTAGGTGCGGGAGCGGCGCCGGACGTGTGGTAAAAAAGGGAAACATCGTCCTTGGCAGTGATCTGGAGGAACAGGTGCAGGTCATCGAGCCAAACGTCAACCTTAATCGGACGGCCCTCAGAGTCAAAGGTGAGAACTGTAGGACTAGCCATAGTGACAGTAGCAGCAGTAGCAGTAGCAGTAGTAGCAGTAAGAGCAGTAGCAGTAGCAGCTGTAGTAGTAGGAACAGGAACAGCAGGTGCTGCAGGTGGTGCACAGTAGGGCGGCGCGGCTCGGTCAGGGCGACGCGGCTCGGTCAGGGCGGCGCGGCGCGGCTCGGACTAGGCTACGCGGCGCGGCGCAACGGTGGGCCTGCGCGTGGGCGGCTGTAGCGTACGGGCCGCGGCTATGCGTGGGCTGCAGTCGCGCGCGGGCGGCGGCCTACACACGTGACGCGGCGGCCTACGGGCGGGGCTGCGGCGCGCTGGACGGCCAGCAGGGCCGGTCGACGGGCGGCTAGCGGGCTGCTCGTGGGCGGCGCTGGTCGTGCGGGCGGCTAACGGGCGACGCGCGCGCGACTCGGGCCGCGCGCGGGCGGCTAGCGGGCTACGCGCGCTAAAAAAAAGGCCGCACGCGGGGCTAGCGAGCTGCGCACGGGCAGCAGGAGAAAGAGAGGTGCACGAGGGCGCACTAACAGAGAGGCGCACGAGGGCGCTAAGGCGATAGGGCGCTCGAGGGCGCTTCTAGCGGAACGGTGGGCCCTTAGGTAAGTGGTCCTAGGTTCCTAACCTAGGCTCGTAATACCATATCAGAATGAGAGAATTGGTTGGACTAGCAAGATTGGGAGTACAAGTAGGAAAACCCTAGAATGTTGTACCCCCTAAGGCTAAACCCACTGTAGCCTACAGAACAGTAACATATACAATGTTTGACATCACACTCAGGAAAAAGGATTTACCGAGACGCTGTTCAATGAAATAAATTATCGACAGCAGAGGGCGTTTTGTGAAGAAATGAGGAATGAATGAACTAGGAAACAGGTGGGTACAAGTAGGAAAACCTAAAAGTGTTGTACCCCATATTGTCTACCCCACTACAGCCTACACAGACTATAGCATATGAGTTTGACACACCCCCATAGGCAAAGTGGGGGAGAACAAGAGGTCACACGACCAGTCAAGCAAAGCAAAGCAAGCTCAGGGTGGATCACAACGTCACCACACATTCCGAGCACAAGTTCAAGGCCACAAGGCCAGTTCACATGCAAGATCATATATAAAAGGTAGACAAGCAAGTGCAGGTATAGAAAGATCACAGTACAAGCAAGGTCAAGAAGTGAGCAAGTGAGGCCAAGTAGGTACAAGACCTAGCATCGTACAGCAGCGCTGATGATCACAAGGCGGAAGTGCCTTGGTAAAGATATCAGCAGTGTTGGCCTCAGAGGCCACGTAAGCAAGGCGCAGCTGACCACGCTGCTGCAACTCACGAGCAAGGAAGTAGCGAAGAGCAATGTGCTTCGTTCTGTGCTCCAGTCTGTGCTCCCGACACAAGGCCAGCATGGCCTTGTTGTCTACGTACAGAACTGGAGGAGAACGAGGCGGCTCTCCTAGGTCAGTCAGCAGGTAGGTGAGCCAGCGTAGCTCCTGTGCAGCCATGGCCCCCCCCTAGATCTCAGCCTCACAGCTGGAGCCGAGAACAGAAGACGAGCGGGTAGACCGCCACGAAACAGAGTCGGAACCAAGGCTGAAGGTGTAACCCTGTGACGACCGCTGCGTAGCCTGGTCGTCAGCCCAAGAAGCGTCTGCGTGACCTGTGAGGACCACTGGACGTCGCCCTCCAAGCACTAGCCCCATGCCCGACGTACTGCACAAGTAGCGCAACACCCTCTTCGCTGCAGCCATGTGCTCTGGTCGGTGTCTCCCAGGAGCAACATAGCGTGCCAAGATGCTAAGAGGGTATGCAAGGTCAGGTCGTGTGCAGGTCATCAGGTACATGAGGCAGCCAACAAGCTCTGGGTACGGGCCACTCGGCTCTACGGACTCATCCGAAGGCAGAGCTGAGAGCGAGTGGCGAGTAGACAGAGGAGTGGCCTGAGGCGAGGAGTACGTGAAGTCGAAGCGCTGAAGGACCTGCTGCACCATGTGTGACTGAGTCAGGGTAATGGTGCGCTGTGCTCTGTCCCGGGTGATCTGCAAGCCAAGGTAGCTGCGCAGTTCACCCAGGTCTGTGCACGTGTGTCTCTTCTGCAGCTCGGACTTCACGTGGGCAAGTCCAGCAGTGTCAGCAGTGGCAAAGACCAAGTCGTCGACGTACACGAGGATGTAGAACGACGGCAAAGAGGTGTCGGTGCGCAGAAACAGCGACGGGTCGGCAGTAGAAGGAGCAAAGCCAAGAGCCGCAAGTGTAGTCCTCAGTGTGTCGTGCCACTCACGGGGCGCCTGGCGGAGACCGTAGACTGGCCGCCGGAGGCTCCACTGGGTACCAGGAGGAAACGACCCAGTGAAGCCAGGTGGGCGGCGCAGCCAGATCTCCTCGTGCAGGCTGCCCTGCAGGAAAGCTGTGCTGAAGTCAAGAGAGTGAAGCTCGTAGTCGCGCTGAGCGGCTATGTGCAGCAGCACCCGAAGAGTGGTCATCTTCGGGGTGGGAGAGAAGGTCTGAAAGTAGTCAACTCCCTGCCGCTGACTGAAGCCTCGAGCCACGTAACGCGCCTTGAAGACAGGCGGAGAACCCGGCGGCCACTTCACCCTGAAAATCCACATGCCACTGACGATGTTCGCCCCAGGTGGGGGAACCTCGTCGACGTAGGTGCCTGTGGACTTCCAGGAAGCCATCTCTGCGTCCATCCAGGAGTAGGGACCCTCGATCGCCTCAGCGTACGATCGAGGAGTCGGGATGTCTGGTGCATCCGGGTCTCCCTCAGGGGCAATCAGCGTGGACACGAGATGAGGCAAAGCAGCAGCAAAACACTGGAACTCCTCCTGCCTGTCCTCAAGGACGTCCGTGCTAAGAGCACACTCACCCCCGACGGACGGAGGACAGACAGACTCAGACTCAGCAACAAGACTAGCGGCGTAGTCTAGACGACAGCGAGCAGCAAAGTCGACAAGCTCAGCAACCAAGGCAGACGCAGCAGTGGACTCAAAGGAAGGGTCAGTGACAACAGTAGCCAGGAGACGCGTGACAGTAGGACTGGCAGCACGAAGAGAGTCAGACTCCGGGTCAGCAAGAACAGGAAGAGAGGACTCTGGAGGAGACGGCAACGGGACACGCAGAGGAGCAGTGGACGGACGCAGTGCCATCTGGTGTGTGCCTGGGACCGCAGGAGGACGCGGACGCGGAGCACGACTACTAGTGCGAGCAGCACGAACAGGCGACGCAGGACGAGACGCAGGCTCACGACGCTCAGCAAGACCTCCAGTAGGACCAGTGTAGGGAGAAGGAGCAGGCAGGGGGGAGGCGGGCTGTAACTGTGACCGCGACTGGACAGGCTGTGGACACTCTAAGGGAGGAGCAGGACCAGTAGAAGGCGGGAGACCAAGAACCTGCTCAAGGAGCGGAATGAAGTACGGCCGCGGCCGCGCAGCGCCTCCAGAAACAGCAGGGACAGCACCAGCACCCCCAGCGGCAGCACCAGTGCCAGCAGCACCTCCAGCTCCAACAGCGCCAACTCCAGCACCCTCAGAAGCACCAGCGCCAGCAGCACCTCCAGCTCCAGCACCCCCAGCAGCTCCAGCTCCAGCAGCTGCAGCAGCTCCAGCTCCAGCAGCACCAACTCCAGCAGGACCGCCAGCTCCAGCACCGCCAGCAGCTCCAGCACCAGGAGCACCTCCAGGCCCAGGAGCTCCAGTACCTCCAGTACCTCCAGCAGCACCAGCAGCACCCCCAGTCCCAGCAGCTCCAGTACCGCCAGTACGAGCACCTCCAGGACCAGTGACTCCAGTAACTCCAGTGCCGACCCCAGGGTCAGCAGCAACAGCAGCACCTCCAGCTCCAGCAGCACGGCTCCAGCGCCGGGCAAACCACTCGCGCAGCTCCTGTGGAGAGGGTAGCTCCCGCCTCGACGAAGCACCCGAAGGGTCCCCAAACCCAGCACCGCCAGAGGCCACACGAGCAGACCCAGCACCCCCAGGCTCCGCACCCCCAGGCTCAGCACCCCCAGGCTCCGTACCCCCAGGCTCCGCACCCCCAGGCTCCGCACCCCCAGGCTCAGCACCCCCAGGCCCAGCACCCCCAGACTCAGCACCCCCAGACTCAGCACCCCAAGGCTCAGCACCCTTAGCAGCACCAGAGTCACCAGCTACCTCGACAGGCTCGACTGCGTCTACCTGGGACACACCTGACGGGGCAGGACCCTGAGGGGGGAGAGGGTCTACCGGGGGGGGAACTGGCGCAAGGAAGAGCGGCGGCGGGGGGAGGGGCGCAGTGCGGTAGGGGAAGATACGGTAGTAAGGCACTGACTCGTCAAAGGTGACGTCCTGGGAGGACAGAACACGGCGCGAGTTGGAACAACCAGGCGCGTCAGGGGGGAAGCCAATGAAGACGCAGGGAACAGCACGGGGGGACAGCTTGTCCGCAGACAAGTCGCGGACAAACGCCCGAGATCCCCAGACACGAAACGCAGACGCTTCGCCAACCTTCCCCGTCCACCGCAAGGTGGGGGAGGTCTCTGGCAAGGAGACCCGGGGCTGAAGGTTGATCTGATGCGCTGCGTACTGAACCGCAAACGGCCACAGAAAATGGGGAGCAGCCGCATGGATCATGGACGTACGAGCGACGTCCATGACCATGCCAATGCGGCGCTCAGCAATCCCATTTTGCTGTGGGGAGGCCGGAAGCGTGAACGTCTGGCGGATGCCCTGTGCACGACAGAAGGCTCCCAGAAGGCCAGAGGAAAACTCTCCACCCCTGTCAGAGTGCAGACGCAGAACAGGAAAGTCCGAGCCGAAACTCTCTCTGAGCTGGAGACGAGCTGCGCGGATCCAGTCGATCAACACCTCAGTGACGTCACCCTTGCTGCGCAAGGGGAACACCGTGGTGTAACGCGAGTAGTCGTCAACCACCAACAGGAAGTAACGCTCGTGACCCTGTCCACGGACGCGGGCGGGGCCCCACACGTCCATGTGAAGAGTCTGCAGCGGAGCCTCTGTCGGAGGAAACTCGGAGGAGTGAGGGG